AAACGACATTTTTCAATAAACAGTTACTAATTTTATCCGGGCCGTTGGCCTTTTTTATTTTCAGGGTTAGGATAAGATCAATAATCTCTTGATCGGTAATTTCCGGCATGTGAAACAGAGTTTGTTCGTTTGGGAAAATACGGAAATTCCTTTTTGTCATCATTGTTGGAAACGGAACCGAAGAATGTATTTAAAAGTTCGGCCTTATCGAAATCTGAATGTGCAATAATGCCTGTATTGCTTGATATTAATGGTGGTATATCAGAATCTACTTTTTCACGTATATAATGCTTAATATGTTTCCAAAAATTTTGAGGACTCGTTTCAGGATTTGATAATTCAGATACCAACCTGTCATTATACTCTGTTTTTAAAACTTTTTTAAAATTATTAACTTTATTACGTTGATGTTTGTATATCATCAAATGGCTAGGTCGTTTTGTTCGAATAGCCTGCTTCCTTAAACGATCACGAATCCGAATCTCCTTACGTAGACTTGAATTAAACCATGGTTTATCCGAAGGTCGAATAATTACTTTCTGCCTAGGAATACATTCGTTTGTAAATTGTGTAAGAATTGAATAGAATATATCAATTGCGTTATTTATACAGTGAGTTAGAGTTCACTCAACCTGCTCACTGGTGTTTCATTTTCACCTTTGACCCGAAGGTTTCTTGGAGTTGTTTGTAAAATCACCTTGGACACTATTAGATAGAATTTGGTAGAGTAAGGTTGTATGTTTCATCCAACCTTGGTACCATTTTTATATTTAGAGTTTCTTGTCGATTCGATTGGTATTTTCATCAATCGTGTGTAATAGTATTTATTAGTAGCATTATTATCTACAGATTTGTTGTTTACAGTTAAAGGTACGTGTTAATATTCATCATATATATATCTATTTCATTATTTAAATGGTCTTTGTTAAAGTGGTGGCCATGTTGGTTTTAGTAAAGTTTTCAAATAAGTTAAAGTTAATCTGGTTTTTATTAATTACATTCTGCAAATACATTGCATACAATCAAGAGAATTAACAATATTAAAGCATTTCGCTTTAATAATACATTTATTGTCGATATACATTTCATACATTTAATATACAATACCCCATATTTTATTTACAGAGAGCGTATAAGGTACTTCACCTCATTCCAGTCTCTGGCTACTTCCATTTTAGAGGTGTTTTAATATTAACATGTAATATGTTATTTTAATGAAATGAACGCATTGATTTTATATGTTGATTTTATAACTTATATTTAAATTATATACTTTCAGGGGTTTTTTTACTGAATATTAAATAAACTGTTATGAAACTGAACCCTTGTGTGGTCGTTTTATAGATAATTTGACCCCCTACAACACTAGCCTGGAGGTCGGGTGTTCGATCCCTGCATTGGCCGAGAAAGTTCACCCAGATTTTCCGGCGTCGTTCTCCCTCGTCAGTGATGCAGGACGGAGGGGCTGACAAGGAAATCTGTCTAGTCGTTCGGATGGGACGAAAAACCGAGGTCCCGTGTACACATTGGCGTGCACGTAAAAGATATAAGATATAAGAGTAGGCCGTAGTGCCGCTGTCCGGGCAAAATTTCCCTCATAGCACACTGTATGGCGTATGCCCGTCTTCATTAGCCCAGGTTAGGAGCAGAACAGTAGGACGTTAAACTCCATTTCATTTCATTTCCACCTAGCCTGCCGGGGATCACGTGGCTAAGTGGGTAAGACGCTAGCTCGCTAGCCTGGAGGTCGGGTGTTCGATCCCTGCATTGGCCGAGAAAGTTCATCCAGATTTTCCGGCGTGGTTCTCCCTTGTCAGTGATGCAGGATGGAGGGGCTGACAAGGAAAGCTGTCTAGTCGTTCGGATGGGACGAAAAACCGAGGTCCCGTGTACACATTGGCGTGCACGTAAAAGATCCCTTGGCAGTTGGAATTCGATATAAGAGTAGGCCGTAGTGCCGCTGGCCGGGCAAAATTTCCCTCATAGCACACTGTATGGCGTATGCCCGTCTTCATTAGCCCAGGTTAGGAGCAGAACAGTAGGACGTTAAACCCCATTTCATTTCATTTCATTTCATTTCCACCTAGCCTGCCATTCGTTGCTTTCTGTGTTGACATTACAAGCTATGGCGGTATGGATGGCTACATGATCGCTGCCTAAAGTTTCGTTTCCTATTCCCCAATTGCAATGGGGAAACAGTTTCGTTGAGACTAATGTTAGATCTATACCATTCAGCACTGCGCAGCTACAATCTAAACAACTCAACATGGGAAACAGATGCCTGAATATATACACTACAACCATCAAGACTTCAAATTTTGAAAATTATCTTTGTTTTAGCACACCACGTCCATATAATTAAACCCCTTTTTTTTCAAATGTCCTCCATTTTTTTTCAAGGGACTACTTTCAGACTTTTTGTATGGAGTACCATCATAAACATCATCTGGATTAAATGTTTCGGGTAGAATCTGCATCGACATTTCGCCACAAATATACATCTTAGTAACCTGTGATTTTTACAATTGTGTCATGTGATATGTCTGAAATGATCTGTATAAGGTAATTCAATAGTCAGTGAGCAGCTAAAAAGACTAGTATACGTCCTCGATTGAATCAGAATTGGATTCGTGTGTCAAGGATTCATGATCAGAATCATTAAGGTCATCAAATATGCGATCGTTCTAGCGATAAATAGTTACAGCGAGAGCGATGGGTCAATTATTGTTGGGAACGGTCCGATTTACAGTTTGTACGTTCCACGTGCAGGCGGGGATACTTCATCACTGAAAATGCCTGGGGGTGGCCATTATGATTCATTGGAATTTGTTGATGGTTTTCAGATACATTTTATACGTTAGTCATGTGGTAATGTAGATTAGCTTTTGGGGTGGAGCAATTAGACTTCTGGCTGGGATACCCCACTATTGAAAAATTCTGGCCATTGCCATTCTTATGCTGAGCATTTTGCAACAAGTTTCGTTCGATAAGTCAGGCTTTACACGGCACAGGCAATTGGCAACTTGTTGACTACAAGTCTGAGATCAGTCCTGAAACGTGGGCTTATATTGAAGCGGACAAGAAAACTCGCATATTGAATAAATATTTAATAAAGAAATACAAAAACAGGGTAACGTAAACGATCGGCGCGCAGAAAAAACACGTTGAATCATTATGTATGTTTTAATAAAATATTGGTTTGTAAAGGAATTCAAATTAACCGCCAAGTATCTCGTTACCTCGTCAGGTAGCGCCCTTGTGCGTAGAATGTTTGGCAGTCAATTAGAATTCCTTTACAGACTAATTATTTTGTTGTCTTTATATTTTCAAATGAAACATTTTTAGATATGTGTATGTTTTAAGAAAATATTGGTTTTTAACGGAATTAAAATTAACCGCCAAGTATCTCGTTAATTTGGTTTTTGCAATGTATATATAGAGAATCTCCTACAAGTCTTGTTGATATTTTTTTGATATCAAAAAAGACGAGTAGGAGTTTTTATTTATCACACAATCCCTTCTTATATGCACAAATAGATAGATATAATTCTTTGCTGTAGATTTCACTTTTACTGAACATTACGGCGTAGTGATACATCATTTTTTGACAGCAATTCAACCATTGCAATGTCCTTTATATTGACCCAGTGTTTCCATGAAGGTCAATAGAATAACGATAGTTCATTTTTAATAATAAAAAAGTTACTTTTAATAAGAAATGAACTGTTCTTTGAAAATAAAAAAAAAAGTAGTTTCTTTTCAACTGACCAATCAAATTCATGTAAAGCGATATCTCCTTAGGAGATATCACAGTAGATTATGAAATATATCACACAAGCGATATCTACTGTAGAATGTATTATTGGGTGATAAACCATAATATTGTTTCATGCATATAATTACAACACATTGCAACGAAAGCATGTAACATTAATTTCTTGTCAACAAAAATCACATACGCGAGTTATCTCCCTTTAGGCGAGTGAGCGTGAAACTCCGATTTGTGCACAAAGCAGCGAGGCTTCTTAAATTCAACTAAATTGTTATTTTTGTGTTTCCAAAGTCAACATTTTGGAGTTATTGGGTGTTATATTGGAGTTATTGGACAGTTATTGGGCAGTTATTGCCTTTTTTATTGGTTGCTTTGGGGTAATTCAACGCGCCGCTTGAAGCGCACAATAGACAATGCACACCAACCTAAGCCAGTAACGTATAATACGTAGTGTCTTCTTTTTCTTTGCCATTCTACTCGTCGCATATAAAGAGCCAACAATACATAAAATACTTGTTTGTTTTATAAAAACCTGCATGAAATTTTTTAAAAATAAGTCCGGTAATTAGTATTACTGGTTGCACCATCAAGGAATCTGATTATCCATTATCAAATACTAACTGCTTAGAATAGTTTTGTGTTCTGCCACGCTCGAACAATGTTAAATTTAGTTAGCCTGTCATCCCAAAACTTATGAAACCACATTTAAAGGACATGTTCTTTTTAAATAGAAGTATTTATGTTAAAAATAAAGTCTCAATAAGCAGTAAAAATATGAATACGTGTGAACGTTTTGCTAGATGTAGAAATCTATTTTGTGCGTTCGTCTATATTCCTTTCTAGACATTATTGGAACTGTAAGGTCTATAATAAACCTAATATTTCGTTGTCCTGCAATCTATTTTTATGTTTACGTTATATAAACATGCATTCGGAATATTTTTTTCTTACTGTTTTCACTCTCGAAACAATATTATGATTAATAATCCAGTCAGTACATTTACGGTATCAGTTCGTTTATTTTTTCTGAACTCGACTTTTAAACAGAATTTATTGTAATTAAGCATTGTCATCTTTTTGTGGTATACACATAATCCTGTTTTCGATCTGAATTGCATTTTTACACATTAATAGTAAAAGCGCACACCTGTTCGGGGCAATCAGTTCTTCCCGCGGGTGTGTGTTCAATGCTTGGATCGGCGTGACGTCACGACAGGGTCAAGTCTTCTTACAAAAAGATGGCGGCTGAATGGCAATGGGGGTGCATAAATCTGAAACTAGGGTTAGGACTGTTAATCGTTTTGCTAATAACAACTCATTTAGGTATGTATTGAACACATAAATCCTTTTTTGTTATTATGTTTTTCTAAATAAGACTAACTTCCCCAAAGGCCGTGAAGCTAGTGGTCTATTGTTTTGTTTTGATTGGAATCTACTCCACTTGACAGCGGAACTATTATTGTATCACTCAGTAACCCACTCCCCTTTTATTTTAGTTTATTAAGAGAACTTGTTTTAATGTATTTCAACTGAATTTCTGTTCTATTAAAATATAAAAATAACTTATTAAATACTGAATATTAGTACCTTGAATTGTAGTAGTGAGATATTTGGCCTGTCTTATCAGTAACACAATAATAATAATAAACTTAAAGTACCGGTAGCTGTCTCTAACTCAATATCATCTAAAGTCTTACATGTTGGAAACATGAATTATTTGTCAATTCAAATCAACATTGATGTTGTAATTTACCTGGAAAAGGTAGGCTTCTGATATCCAATATTTAAGACAAAATAAACATTTTACCATTGGTACACGAATCGTGTACCATAGTGCGTTTCGTCGTCATTTGTAACAAGTGACCAGAAAGAGCGAGGCTAGAATATTCCACAACTCATGTCATACAGCGACGGCATAACTTATCTGGAGAGCATGCGCAATAGACTGGAATAACCAGACGGTAGAAATTTCTATTCAGTTGAGACTCATGCCGTATTTCGCTGGACCTAACTGATTTGAAATTAGAGTCAAAACGGTAACAATTGAATGTAAATCAGTTCATATAGACTGGAATAACCAGACGCTAGAAATTTCTATTCGGTTGAGACTCATGCCGTATTTCGCTGGAGCTAACTGATTTGAAATTTGAGTCAAAAGGGAAACAATTGAATGTAAATCAGTTCATATACAATCAGATTACATTATTATATGCGTTGCGACCCATTTGGGTCAATTTCTAGGTCCAAAATATTAGCGATTTAGCTCCTTTAAGAGTACCGGTATAAGAAAACAAGTACAAAGATGTGGCCTACTGATGTGCTTGTTTTTAGCTACGAGTGGGTGTCTTTAGTTTCACCTGGCAAATTTAATTTCGTTATTAATGCATGTAAAATCTTAAAAATAAACATATGCAGCCCAATCTAGTGAAACAACTTTCTTTTATCTGCGAATATGGTCAATAATTATAAAGACAGAGTAAATAATAAGGCATTGTTTGTATCTAAATGGATACAGACATTCATCATTACAGTGCATTAGTCCTATGCAACTTTCATCATGTAAAGCTGCATTTAATTATTGTTTGTTTCTCATGACCCGCCAGCATGTCCGTTTTCATCCGTAATAAATACACACTTCAATAATTATTTGGTAAAATTTAGGGAGGTCACAAATTGTCCTGTCAAATTTGTAAAACTATCCTTGTTTGCCTTCAAATATTAGCAATGAATTGACATATTAAAATCGACTATTTATCGATAAACATGACACTGTAGGTGATAAGTAAAGTCTAGTAGGGCACTGTAGGCTAGAACGTTAAAAAATATATGAAGTCCATACATGAAACAGGAAGTTAAAAAAGCCGTATATCTGTCATTCTGCAGCATTATCTTCACCAAAGACGACATACATACTTAATAAGGCACTTGTAAATTGTAATAAAATTCACAGAAAGATATAAATGTTTTTAAATTAATGCTAAAATATTTTATTTACGTGACTAGCACTATGTGACCAACAGTTCCAAAACTGCTGCCTCGATCATGAGGTAAGCCTACCGACTGATTGACACTACTTCACAGTAATTTGTTAACCACGACACTCTATAAACACAGTCTCAAAAGGACACAAAGATACTTAATAAATGTGAATACTTTGATGAAGATAGACAAAATTATAAAAGTATTTATATTATCACGATACCATGTGCTGATGGGGTCAAAGTTGAAGACAATTAGCATACAAGTTATTGGTACTATCTTCCTTCACGGTTAGAGAAATGAACACGTGTGTAATAAATTCTTTGGATTGACATTTTAAATAATCTAACTAATGTTGTATTCAAAAATCCAAAGGTATGCTTTTGAATATTTATGTCAGAACAAATCATCAACATGATTGAAACAGGTCATTTCGTAACCTGTCAAAGTAGGGGAAGATAAAGAAATGAAATGCCAAGAATGAATGAATTAACGTAGGGTTAACTTAGAAGCGTATCACTAATAACCTATTATTATGATCAAGTCTTCTGATGCCCGGCTATTGTGCAACATATATTTCCATCTATAAAATTTTTATTAAATGTGAATAAATTGCGAACACCAGTTACCGTTGGGTTTTCAATGAATGACCAAGTAACCAACATTAGTTATTGCTGAAATAGAAAGAGCATTAAACTCAAAATTTTAAATTCTATCTCAATAATTAATAATTACATCATGTACATGTAGCATGTATATTTCACAAACACAGGTCATGAGAAGCAGACAATTAACCGCAGCCTAAATATGTCAAATTTAAAAAGCTGGGTAAAGCCAGCTATTATCACTTCCATTTAAAAGAGGTGATTTGAACCCATGTCAGGTAGGTTTATGGATGTGGCACAAATGTTATAAATAACAATTTATAATCAATTGTTGTTTTGAAGAAAGAATTGTCAGGTTTGCTTATTGAAAGCCTGATCTGATCTGCATCAGACTTGACCAGGTAGATCTACATGTATATAGTTCTATCTATTATATGGGAGAGTTGAGAGATGAGGTTTCTTATCTAATATAAACATAGTATGGATCTTTTCAGCACTGACACTAATAGCCCGTTCAGACACTTATTTTTAAACAAGTTCATAATCGCTGAGGTTTTTAAGACGGCATCATGTTGCGTTCACACGTACTATAAGCCAAACCAGTTTAACTATTCTGTCCTCTTTGGTCGGAAGTAAGAGTTAACTACGCATGAGTAGCTTCATATTCTTTATTCGGTTCTCGCACACTTTCCATAACACTGGCACTGTCTGACCCCGATATTTTCACAGGAATGTAATGTACTGTGCATGCTCAAAGCAAGCTGGAGCCAGGGTTTTTAAGCCAACCCGTTCAGACGGCTAAGATGAACCAGTTTAAAATAAAAAGCCTTCTCGAAGACAGGTCGCAAGCTGGGGTTTTTAAACTAGTTTATTTGCCCCACATTTGCATTCAGAAGCTTAAGTTAAACTGGTTTAACGATCCCCAGGGTTTTTAAACCAGTTCAACTTAAGCGTCTGAACGGGCTATAATTGACTGTGGTAGGACCTAGCACTGTAACCTGGATATTATTTAATCTAGTGTATTTAGCACTAATTTCTTTCACATTCATTCAATATCAAATCTCTGTTTAATAATTCCTAGATATTGTTTAAAATTAACAAAAATCATCTAATTTGTCCTTATCTAAATCTGACATAATATATCCTTAAAGATCCAGTTTTAATGATCTTTATGTGGAATTTCAAAGATCCAGTTTCATGTTATCCAAGTTAGAAATACAGGCCAAATTATTAATGAGCAGATTCAGAGTCAGACTTATAAACTTTGTTGTTTTTTTTTCCAGTCAAATATTTGTATATTTATAACAGGTCCATTGATGATTAATATTACATTCAAATAATTTTGTTGATAATTATTATAGCAAGAATGGCCAAGTCTTTATTAAACTCTTAACTAATGTATCTTTAAAGGCTCAATACCACTCTTGTTGTAACTGAATAATATGTCCCAATCTTTATTCTGGTCAACAAATTGTACTATTTTAGAATATTTCAATTAATTGATGATACAAATTTCATCTTAACACACCTTATTAAAAATTATGAAAAATTCAACATAATGGTTTGAAACGTCTAACGTAAACCTTTTCAAATGAAACTTTGATTTAAAAATATTTTCGAACCCTCTGGACAAGTAAAATAGGATGTAATGGATAATTTACACAACAGGTAGGACACTTAAACATCAAGTACTTACATGAAGATAGAGATATTATTTATTTTCTGGAGCTTTCAAGCCAGCAAGAGTGTTATTGTCCCTTTAAGTAATGGTAATTACTTCATAGATAATGGAAATAAAATATTTTCTTTTCTTGGGTATTGTGACATTTTTCATTAATTCTTGAAAATATGTTTTTACGTATTAATTTTTATATGCCCACATGAAAATGTGGTTGTTTATTGCCGTCGGTCCATTGTCCGCAATTTCTTGTGAACACTTTACAGACTACATTTTTTATCTGATCATATTTGTTCCCCACCTTTCGAAGAAAGCAGGGGACTGTTAAAATGGCTTTGTCTGTCCGTCATACTTTTTAGGACACAATAACTAATTGAGCTAGAATGTTCAAACTTGGTATAGGTGTTTATTAGGTCAATGCCTTGATGGAGTTCGAAGATGAGCATTTTCTTCTTAGGGTAAGCAGAAATAAGCAATTTGATTGGTTGATGCTTTGGGACACGATAACTTTAGTTCTAATTAAGTGAGAGTGATGAAACTTGGTGTATAGTTTCATTACATCAATACCTTGACTAAGTTCGATAATGAGCATCTTCTACTAGGGTAAGCAGAGCGATAAGCAATTTGATTGGTTGAGACTTTGGAACACAACAACCGTCTTTCTAATTGAGGTAGAATGTTCAAACTTGGTGTAGGTGTTTATTAGGTCAATGCCTTGATGGAGTTCGAGGATGAGCATTTTCTACTTAGGGTAAGCAGGGATAAGCAATATGATTGGTTGATACTTTGGGGCACGATAACTTTAGTTCTAATGAAGCGAGAGTGATGAACTTGGTGTATAGTTTCATTACATCAATATCTTGACTAAGTTCGATAATGAACATTTTCTGCTCAAGGTAAACAGAGCGATAAGCAATTTGATTGGTCAAGACTTTGTAACACACTTATTCTCATTCTAATTGAGTTCGAATGTTCACACTTGGCGTAGGTGTCTATTAGGTGAATGCCTTGATAGAGTTCGAAGCTGAGAATTTACTGCTTTGGGTAAGCAGAGATAAGCAATTTGATTGGTTGATGCTTTGGGACACAATAACTTTAGTTTTAATTAAGTGAGAGTGATGAAACGTCTAGTATAGATTCATTATATCATGACCTTGACTAAGTTCGATGATGAGAATTTTCTGCTTGGACTAAGGAGCGATAAGCAATTTGATTGGTCAAAACTTTGGAACATAACAACTCTGCTTTTGATTAAGGTAGAATGTTTAAAGTTGATGTAGATGTTCATTTGGTGAATGTCTTGACGGAGTTCAGTGATTAATATTTTGAACTAAAGCTAAGCAGAGCTAAGCAATTTCATTGGTCGATGCTTTGGGACAAGATAACTTTGATTCTATCTGATAGAGAGTGATGAAACTTAGTGTATAGTTGATAATCAGTTTGATTGCTTGATACTTTTGAAAAAAATAAATGTGCGATTAATTAATATGTGTCATCTGTATAATCTATTTATTTTGGGATTTCGGCGGGGGACATCAGCCTCAGTCACTCACTGTTGGCTTGTTATCATCCGATTGTTTTAAAATTGATGTATGTTGTTTACATTAGTAGATGAAGAATCTTATTTAATTTCAATAATTTCTGTTAATTGCTTCTAGAGTTATGTTCCTTGTTTCACTCTGTTTGTACCTTGTGAACACTCAAACATCAAAAGTTATCTGCTAATCTGTATTAAATTTATAAGCGTCATTTAAATCAGTAAAAAGAAGAATCCTATTGAATTTCAGCAATTTCTGTTAATCACATCTAGAGTTTCACTTTGTTTAATTTCTATAATTTCCGTTAATTACTTCTAGAGTTATGGTCCTTGTTACCCTTCGTAGAATATTGTGAACGCTCTGATGACTAAAGTTATCATCCAATCTGTGTTAAATTTACACGCATTATTAAAATTAGTAAAACAAATAAGCCTATTGAATTTCAGCAATTTCAGATAATTACTTCAAAAGTTATGGCCCATGTTTCACTTTGTTGAACCTCTTGTGAACGTTCCAACAACAAAAGTTATTTTTATGCATTATTTAAGTTAGTCAAATGAAGAAGTCTATTAATGTTTATAACTTTAACAGTTATTGACCTTGTTAAGTTGTTTCACTTTGTTGAACCCTTTGTGAACATTCCAATAACAAAAGTTACCAACCGATCTGTACCGTATTCATTTTATGCATTATTTAGATTTGTAAAACAAAGAAGCCTATTGATGTTTATATCAGGGTTCAAATCTTATTTCCAATACCAGAAGCAATTTTTTGCTTGTAATTTTTAAAAGTGTAACTAGAACTGCAATGCAGTAATGACGGGTTTCATTGAACGTATGTCACTTCCGGTGCCACGTTACACTTGAACTTATGTAACTTCCACAAGCATTGCACACATGTTATAAAACAGAAACAGAATCAACTAAATGCTGCAATATCAGTTATATTTGTGTCCATGTGTTACATATGTCAAAATAGTGATCCTGGCAAATTTGGTTACTAAATTACATACGTACCAGTAAGTTAGCTGATGAGACTTTCTAATGGGAAATTAAAATGCGAAAAAAAATCTATTTAAAAGTAACCCTTACAAAATTAGTTACTTCTCAGTAATGAAAGAAGTTAGAACCAATTTTTTGATATCTATAGTATCGTATATTAAATCATTATATATATTGGATCAAATTAAATATCATAAATTTAAAGGAATATTGAATAACACTGTTTATATTGTGTTATGAATTTTCAGCACACGCAATACAGATTTGAAGTCCATTCTTAATCTTAGATGAAAAATGTAATTGCCATTAAGATGCTATATAATTTTATTACAGCAAGTGGTCTAGTGTGTCATTGTGATCCATGTGATGAATATGAAACTGTCAATCAAACATGTGTTACAAGCTCCTTCAGTAAATGTTTTGCTGCCAAAGAAGTGATTAAAGATAAAGGTGGGGAGATTGAGAGATCAACTTATGGTTGTTTGGCAGATGATGATGGGCCACTCCTACAGGTAATGTAACATTTTTATACGACCACATGGAAATGTAGTCATATATTCCTGTCCGTCCGTCATCCACAATTTCTTGTGAACACTCTACAGACTACATTTATCATCTGATTGTTTTGAAATTAATATGTTGTTTGCATTAGTGAGTTGAAGAAGCCTATTTAATTTCAATAACTTCTGTTAATTTTGTCTGGAGTTATGGCCCTTGTTTCACTTTGTTGCACCGTGTGAAAGACAAAAGTTATCAACCAATCTGTATGAAATTTATATGCATCACCTAAATTAGTAAAACAAAGAAGCCTATTGAATTTTAGCAATTTCCGTTAATTACATCTAGAGTTATGGCCCTTGTTTCACTTTGTTGAATCTTGTGAATGCTCTAAAACTTCATTCATCAGCAATAGACGTCTGACCACATTTGATTTTTGAGGATATAACCATTTGGAAATTTGTTATAAATGCTTCAAAATCTTCCTGGCTTCCATTATCAAGGCAGTTAATTCTTAGTGACAATACGAGTTATGTCCCTTGGTCACGTAAAAAATCGTAATCACACCACTGAAACGGTCCAAAAACATTGCTTATTTCCTTGTTGCAAAGTAACAGAATACAAGAAATTCAAAATTAGGACAACAACGTTCTCTCGTGTGATATGGCATCCTCGGTATCCCCAGTGATTTCATTCCGTTGGTCACGTAAAAAACGGAATCACACCCCTGAAACGAATAAGTCTTTATCGCAGTCCGAAAACATTGCTTATTTCCTTGTTGCAAAGTAACGGAATACAAGAAATTCAAAATTAGGACAACGTTCTCTCGTGTGATATGGCATCCTCGGTATCCCCAGTGGTTTTTTATTCCGTTCTACTCCACTAACCCCTGGGTTAATCTATGGGGGAGACACATTTTCAAGTTATCCACCCTTGATGGTTGTGCTATTTTTATGGACCAATCTCATAAATCGTTACTTGCAAAGGAAGTTGGCAAAGGGAAGTAACTCTCAACGGACAAGGCTAGGACTTGGTCTAAATGAGAAAAGTTCAAATTATTCTATTAACAACAAATTATATAATATTATATTAATTGAAGACTGTGCGTTTATGTAGGTTTAAGAACTTTCGTTCGTTCTGTTCGTTCGTTCGTTTGTTGACTTTTACATCCACCTGATATCATAGACAAGTTATTGTGAATCAAATTTCCAAGGATAAGTTCAAGAATAATAAACATAACAGAATGAAACATTTCAGACAAAGAACGAATAGTATAACAAAAGTCGAACATATATTTGAAATCAGCGAAAAATACTACAGATTTTGATAATACAATTAAATATACATGAATTAGAAATATATACATTTACTTACATAAATCATTCAGTATCTGGACATGAATATGGTTATCTACCCTTATAAAAATGAAGGCGAAACGACAGGTTTGTAAACTGTTTTTTTGATTGGTTCGTAGACTATAGCTACAATCAAGGCCAGGGCAGATAATTTGAAATCGTGGAAACCCTAGGGATTAACCCAGGGTATAGTGGAGTAGAACGGAATGAGTACACTGGGGATACCGAGGATGGTGATATTGTAGCATTTACTCACATGGAGTGTAATTAGATTTTAGTCCCGCGACAGCAAAACATGCAAATATAACCGCTGCTACTTTAACATCTGTATCATCAAGTCACATACGCTTACACCAGTGACCGAACCCAGAACTACAATCCCGAGGTTGCTGGCAAGCTATACATGTAGCGTGAAGTGTGACAACCACTCACACATCCCATACTACTCACACCTTAACTTGGAAGGGGATACACCCTACACTCCATCCCATTCTCATCAGCACCACTAAATAGTTCCCATTATATCTACCCCCTTCCAAGTTAATGAGATGCCTTCCAATTGTGTGGTTTTACTCTGTGTCCTTGTGTTTCCCTCCCACAGCAAGGACCCTGAATTTAATAAGGTAAAGGTTTCCCGGAGGGTGAAAGAGGACGTTGAATTTCCAGCTAGAACAAGGTGTAAGGACCGGCAGGGTTGTTGGGATTGTTCGGCAGGGTTGGGGGGAATTGTCCGGCACGATCGCGCCACTTGCGCCAGTGTAAATTAGGCAATGATCAGTTCCTACATATGAAATGAATAACCTTGGATCAGACCTGAGCTTCTAGATAAGAGGAAATGTCAGTCTCTCCTAGCAAAACTCTGTAACCTCAATATACAATTATTGATTTGTATAATAATATGCGATATACTCCCCACTTGGAAAGGGGTAAATATAACGGGAAATATTTAGTGTTAGTGATGAGCATGAGATGGAGTGTGTGTGGGAGGGGGGGGGGGTCCGCGACGTCAGTGCAGCTTTTGATGGGCTGTAAAAACGAATATCTTTATTCTGCAAGTTTATCATCAAATTATGCACAAAATTATACAGCTTAAAACATCGGTTCAGACGTGTTCGGTTACATTAATTCGAGCGCTCGACTTAACTTTCTTGAGCGTTCGACTTAATATCTCGAGCTCTCAAAATATTATTTTTTTTGTGTGTCCTAAAACAGCCACCATATCCGAGTCTCTCTATTTATGAAATTAATTTCACTAGTATCTGCCGATGGAGTCGTGTCCGCTATCCCTGAGAAAAATGGGGTGTCAAGAAAATTGTCGTGTGCTTTTGTAGATTTTTTGGACTTAGTCTTACTTTTACCCAGCTTCCTAGCCTTTGTCTTCAGTCTGACCAGTCTATTTTGAATGTGTTTGTCACCAAACGTCACACAGTCGTCATGTAAAGCAGTTATGATAGACTGATGCTCCGTAGTTGTCAGGAGTTTATTAACAATGCCTAGTATAAGCCTATTTGTGATTTTTCCCATGGGTAGTTTGGTTACAGTGCTCAAATCATAGGGGTATTTGTCCAATCCAATGGTGGATAGCAATTCATCGATGGACGACATCTTGCAGGGCTCAGTCTCAGATCTAGAAAAAAACAACAAATTCCCTCGATCAAGGCTTAAGTCTACACAATAATTAAATAAGATTTTATGATTATGAAAATAATTTGCACCAAGTTACCGAAAAGTGTCTAGAAAATAAAGACCCCAAATAAAATTTTGTTTCGGTTATTTTCCGGTCTCGAATAGTTCTGTGTATTTAGAGCTAGCAAATATTTATTTCCTAAAATAAAGAGAGCACCACGTAAACGAAGGTTGCAACCACTAAATACTAAATAAAAGCAAATAATAATAATAATAATAATAATTTATTTATAGAGCGCCTATAATCCAATACTTAGATTGCTCTATGGCGCTATTACATTATTGTAAAGGTATAAAATATAAAACATCTCAATAATAAGAACATTGCACAATTAGAATAAAATATGGTATACAATAATAAAAAAGTAAACTCTGAAAAAGCTTAAGCATTTAGCAATTAAAATGGCTTTTAAAAAGGTGGGTCTTTAACTTTTTCTTAAAAACAGGCAGGGAAGGGGAATCTTTAATTTCAGAAGGTAACTTATTCCATAGTTTAAAAGCAGCAAAACTATAAGACCTTTCCCCAAATGAGGATTTTGCATGATAGGGCATTAGCAAGTTTTTGTTTTGTGATCTAAGTGTGCGTGTAGGAATATATGGGGTCACTAGTTGTTTGAGGTAGTCAGGTGAGTCTTCAATATTAATGACAGCATATGTTAGAGAGAGTATTTTAAATTCAATTCTGCTAGTAACTGGCAGCCAATGCAGTTGGTGTAAAATAGGGGTGATATGTTCACATAGTTTAGTTCTAGTAATGACTCGAGCGGCTTTGTTTTGAATTTTTTGTAATCTATTTAGCTGAAGAGAAGGCAAGTTAAACAATAAAGAATTACAATAATCAAGGCGGGAGGTTACAAGTGAGTTGACAAGCATTTTAGAAGTATCAGTATCAATAAAGTTTCTTATGCGACCTATATTATATACTTGAAAATTGGCGGATTTACACATATTCGACACATGTTCTTTCATGTCAAAATTTTTCCCAAATTTAACACCGAGGTTCCGTACACTGTTACTTGGATGTATGACAGCACCACCCACTTTAACATATTTTGTAATAATTGATGAGAGTCTATGATCGGTTCCTATTTTTAATAATTCAGTTTTATCATCGTTTAGTTTTAAAAAGTTGTTTTTCATCCAGTTTTTTACATTATCAATACATTTCTCCAACTGAATGATTTGTTTACTTTCGTTGTCGGGTGTTACAGCCACATACAGTTGTGTGTCGTCTGCGTATATATGATAGTCTAAATTGTGATCTCTAAGAAGTTTACCAAGAGGGCAAGTATAAGCCGTAAATAATAACGGACCGAGTACTGATCCTTGCGGAATTCCATATTTTATGTCTACTGGTTTTGATGACTGCTTATTTATGACAACAGACTGTTTTCGTGAAGTGAGATATGATTCAAACCATTTCAGGGCATAGCCAGTAATTCCAAAATAATCTTTTAAACGTGTAAGTAGAAGTGCTTGGTCGATGGTATCAAAAGCAGCACTTAGGTCAAGAAGAACAAGAAAAACTACATTTTTATTATCTAGATTAATTAAAATATCATTTTGTTATGAGTTTATCTTGCCACGCTCATGGTTTTGAAAGTTAGAAATGAAACGAAGCTATTACAGCTAGCTCTGTACCGAAATCGCCAAAATCAAAAATTAAATCAAAGAGTGCAATCAAAATTTTTGCTTGTGTTCGCTATTAAATAAACACGAAAGTTGATTTGCGTAATAAGTGTAATTTTTTCTTGGCTTTATATACCAATACCTGTTTGTAAAATACCTCGTGTGACGTATATTGGCTGCGACATCCGAAACCATTTGCGCTGGACTAAACTTTGCTCACTTCAGAAAATTTCTCGATAAGGCAATCAGACAGATAAGTGGGTCTCTGAACCATTCTACTCTAATGACAACAGTTAGAATCCGATCTGTTTGAAATTGATATGCATCATTTAAATTAGTGTAAC